GGGCCGGTCAGTATCGAGCCGGTGACTGGTCAGTGTCGGGCCTGTGACGGGTCAGTGTCGGGCCGGCGGCGCTCCATTGTCGGGCCGGTCAGTATCGAGCCGGTGACAGATCAGTGTCGGACCTGCGACGGGCGAGGTTCGGGCCCGCGACAGGTCAGTACCGGGCCGATGACGGATCAGAGTCGGGCCGGTGTCGGATCGCAAGTCGGCTTGGTGGCCAGGTGTACTAGCGGGGAGGAGGGATTGCTCCCCGGGTTGGTAGGATGGCTAGACGAATCGGTCGGAGATTCCCCGCTGTCTGACTCCAGCTGCGCCCGCTCCAGCCCCTGTCCGCGGCCCCCGTTCGAGCCCCAGCCCCGCTGTTTCAGCTCTGGTCCAGAGACGGTCGAGGAGCTGATGGCGGGAGAGCCGTTGGACGCGGCCTGCTCGTCGGCGCACGGCTCCACCCAGGCCCAGGCCGACGCCGACGCTGTCGAGGAGCAGGAGCTCGCCGCCAAGCGACGCCGCGTCTACGAGGAGGTCGACTAGGCCGCGCACCGGGACCAGGCTGCACTGCTGGATGCGTAAAGATGTGGACTAGACAGCCGAGCTGGACCAGGGTACACCGCCGGACGTGTGAGATGTGGACTAGGGAACCGCCGGACTTTGAGGTGGTCCGTCTACTGGCTGTGTATGATGCGAAAGACCTGGGCGTCATCGGCGTCCCCAGGGGAGGGCAGGGGTGGACGAACGCGCCGCCTGGCCACGCGCCGGGCTGAAGACCCGTAAGAGCGGACCGAGGGCTTGGGAGTGAAGCCAGATACCCGGCGAGACGGCCACGGGCAAGGTTGGTGGGGTCTGTGAGCAGGGAGAGGGGAGGGCTGGTTCAGCGCGCGGCCCTAGTCGGGCCGGCATGTGGCCGTCTGGACATCGGACGCCGCGGCATAGGCCGGGCACGCCCCCAGAAGCCGCCACTGTCTTATAAAGACGGGGCGCGGGCCGGCCCCTGCCGAGGCTCCGTTGTCTTGGCGGGGCTCTGCGGAGGCCCCGGCGTCTGGGCCGGGCCCTGCCGAGGCTCTGGCGTCTGGACCGGGCCCTGCCCAGACTCCGGTGTCCCGGGGACCGTGTTTGCTGGTGCTCCTCTCGCGCCTCTGACATGCCCAGACGCGGCGCTCAGGGCTCAGACGGGGCCGGCGCGGACGGGTCCACATTAGGCGTGGACGGGTCCACATCAGGCGTGGACGGGTCCACATCAAGCGCGGACGGGTCGACATCATGCGTGGACGGGTCCACATCAGGCGTTGTCGGGTCCACATCAAGCGTGGACGGGTCCACATCAGGCGTGGACGGGTCGCTAAAGCGGGTGACACCCGGGCTGTGATTGGGCGTGCGGGCGGCGCCGGTGACGGGTGGCCGCGGGCGCGTGTGGCGGTCGCCGGCACGGTCCCGGACGCGGGACGCGTGCCGGGGGACCCCCCGTGATATCATGTTAACAAGCGCCGGGACTAGTACGCCCGGCGCGGTACCACTAACCACGCTAGTGTTCTGCCACCACCCGTGTTGTGCCCATAACCCAGGAGCGGAATCAAACTTCGCTTCGGCGGAGATCGCGAACACCTAAAGGGTGTCGAGTGATAGTTAACGGTTGTTGTGCACAAGTGATGCGTTTAGAGAAGGAACTCAAAAAGGTTGAAATTGTAGTTTCTCTGTGGTTTGATGACATTTTGTTCAGCGTTGTAAAAGACTGAGGACGTTAGGAAGTCTAGGGAACAAAGTAGGAGATGGTAAGCTGTTTCGTTATGTATCGCATAGGAGCTCTGGGATACCCAGCATTCTGATCGTCTTGCCTTGTACAGGCCACGTTGTTTTGATGCGAATGAGTGCCGTCAGACGGTGACCATCCAGCGCGCAGCAGGGTTGGTGCAACAGGTTTTTTTGAAGCGCGGATTTCCTGAGAAGTATTTCTATATGCGTGACTAACTGCGTAACCTCTACCAGCGCCGACTGGCGGCATGCAGTCATTGCCTTATTCTGTGACCTCGGTGGTCGCGAACCGTATGAACCCTGGGTGCGGTCCTTTAAGGGGTCAAGCGGGCAGCGATTTATGCGGCAGGTAGCCCGCACTGGCGAGCGCGTGGCCTCATCCCCCGCCCCCCCCCCCCCCGCTTCTTCCGGTGATACTGTTTGACGTAGCTCCATAGTCGCGAGTACACTGGCTGATTTTAGATGTCTTGTGCCACAGCCACATGCAGTCTGTCATTTTTAGCTGTATCACGGATCACGTCCCCTCCTTGACATGAAGTGACGTGCCGAGGTTGTCGGAGGTCACTGACCCAAGTTGAACGCTAGTTGTGAGCGGTAGTAGTCGTCTTTATGAAACCTTGGTGGTTGGCTGTAGCGGTATGTAGTTCTGGCACCTGGCCTTCCGTCCTGTCAGTTTCTCCCAAAGACGTCAGGGCCACTGACGCAAGCTCGCTTCGTGTCCGTGTTTTTCGTAACGCACGCTTAGAAGCGCACACGTTTCTAGGGGAAGTTCTGAGGCAAATTTTACGCTTGTCGAGTGATTTGCCGCAGGCATTATATAGCGCAACTCGTTTTACAGATTTAACATTTAACGTTAGTCTCACTTGTAAGTGCCATTTTATGTATAGTCATAGATGTATACCCCGGTGGTGCAATTTAAGCACAAGTGGTTAACCGCAGTATTTTTGGATCAACAGGCTGCTTAGGGTTACACCAGATATAAAGAGCGGACTGTGGGTGTTAGCACGATAGCAAGGATGGTAGTGAGCGGATGGATTGACGTGATGGCCCAAGTCTTGACGTCAGACGTCAGGCGCGGAAATAACACCAGCCAATGGTGCTCAGAGTGACCAGGGCTGTGTGACGTGATGACCCAAGCCTCGACGTCAGACGTCAGGCGCAGGAATAACACCAGCCGGTGGTGCTCAGAGTGACTAAGGTTGTGTGACGTGATGGCCCAAGCCTCGACGTCAGACGTCAGGCGCGGAAATAACACCAGCCAATGGTGCTCAGTGACCAGGGCTTTGTGACGTGATGACCCAAGCCTCGACGTCGGACGTCAGGCGCGTCAGGCGCAGAAATAACACCAGCCGATGGTGGCTGTGTGACGTGATGACCCAAGCCTCGACGTCAGACGTCAGGCGCAAAAATAACACCAGCCGATGGTGCTCAGAGTGGCCAGGGCTGTGTAATGGTTTGATCTGTAGCAGATCAGGGATATGTTTGATGTGCAGGTCTGGCGGGGTGCGCTGAGCTTCGTTTGCCAAATCATTTGCTTGAACCGTACGCGTGCCGATCCTGATGACGTGTTTGGCGCGCGGGACGACAGGGTGCTTGCATAGGAACTCGCTTCTACGTTCGCGTTCTTTTTTCGCTGTGGGCGGATGACTGTTGGCGCGCTGCAAGTGCTTCGGTGATTGTCGCGCCGTGGGCCAGGTTGGAGCACGTCGTGTCACGTTTTCTCCCGCGCCCCAGCGTGCGTCGCGCGGGCCCTTCGCTCCTCAAACCCACAACGGAACCGGTCGCGAGTGAGGATGTGACCGTGTCAAAGCAAAGCGAGCTTTCTGGTCGTTGTAGCTTGTATAGTTGTTTCATAAGTGCGGAGCCATTATCAGATCGTGAGAAAGAGTTTGGATGCCAACCTGCGACGAATGCTGTGTTCAGTGTTCCTGCCAAATATTTCGTGACTTGTGATGACACGTTGCCCGACGTTTTCGTGGCTGAATGTGAAATTGAGCTTATATGCAGGGTTTTGTTTCCGTTTACACGCGTAGTAATACACATGCATTTTTGCAATCTTTAAACATGTGTTCCAGCCGGAGAATCCGGGCCAGCAGCCGAGACGGAAAGCGCGGAGTCGTGCTCCTCTGGGCCGGCTCCGAAACACTGCGATCCTTCCACCGCGTCTATCAGCCATCCAAACCGGCTGAGCACCCGCGTGCCGGTCGGGCGTTACTGGGCCGGGTCACACTCGGGCGGACAGGCCGGTCTCGAGACGCGGCGCCCAAGCGGCAGACCACGGCAGACCACAGACCATCGCCGGAGGCTTGCGCCGTCCAGACTGGGGCCGCTCCAGCGACAGGCCACGGCAGACCACAGACCATCGGTCGGGGCTCGTGTCGTCCGGACTGGGACCGCTCCAGCGACAGACCACGGCAGACCACAGACCATCGGCCGAGGCTCGCGCCGTCCGGACTGGGACCGCTCCAGCGACAGACCACGGCAGACCACAGACCATCGGCCGAGGCTCGCGCCGTCCGGACTGGGGCCGCTCCAGCGACAGACCACGGCAGACCACAGACCATCGGCCGAGGCTCGCGCCGTTCGGACTGGGGCCGCTCCAGCGACAGACCACAGCAGACCACAGACCATCGGCCGAGGCTCGCGCCGTCCGGACCGGGACCACTCCACGGTCCGGCGCACGCGTCTGCACCTGCCGTCGCTTGACCTCACCCCCGGCCCCCAGTTAACGCGCGCGCCACGCCAGCGAGCCGACCCGGGCGCGTCCTCGGCCGGCGGCTCGGCGAGCGGGGGTGCAGCGGCGCGGATGGACGCGTAGCCTCGGACTGTGTCGAACCCATCCCGGACCTGACGCGCGGCCGGGCTCAGCACGCACCTGGCCGAGAGCACACAATCAGGTGGCCGGTGAGCCGCGTGAGGCCAGTGGGCGGGATCGATCAGGTAGGAGAAGCATGCCCGTCCCGCACCGGCGCGGTGCTATTCTGGTCGGTGAAGGCGGCGGCCGGCCGGCGGCGCTGGCCGGCCGTCGGAAGTCGGCGGAGGACGAAGCACGACACGGTCTCGCTCGGCGGTGAGCGCCTGACGGACGCCAACTGCCCTTGCCCACTGCCCCACCGACGGGCGGGGCCTCGGCGGATCAGTGACGCGAGGCCCTCCTGGCGTGTCGAGTATTGAGACCGATGAAGCTGACAGCGGGTGCGGGGACATCGACAGAGCGGTCACGAATCCCCGGGGAAGTTGGCGTCGATACGCAGATATTGATGGCTGGCAGCTGTATTGGACGAAGATCTGATAACCAAACACACACTCAATGCTCAAAAAAGACACGCGCACGAACGACGCGGCCATGTCCTGCACCTGTCGCCTACGATCCCTTCGACTTCCTCTTCTTCTTCCGACTGCTCCCCACGTCTATCACCACAGCGTCTTCTTCAGGCGCCCGCGATTTTCTCTTCTTTTTACTTTTCTTGCCGTCCAACACGTCCAGCGACTGCGCCGCCTCCAGCACCCGCCTGCTCTCCCGCAGTACCTCCTCGTACCCTGTGACAGGGTTGGCAGCTGGGTCAGTCGGCGAAGCTCTCCTTCACAGCCGGGCGACGCGGTAAGGGAAGCACCTCACGAGGTTGGCAGCTGGATCACTGGACGAAGCTGTCGCCGAAGCTCCACAGCCGGTCGGCGCGGTAACACGAACACCCCACACGTGTGTACATCACCACCGCGGCGTGACGCGGGTCGGCGTCAGTTCCCGGGACCGGTCCGGACCGGACCGGACCGCCCGCGGCCTCCATGATCATGCAGTCGTAGCGCACTCCCAGAGGCGTACCGAGGCGGTCCGTTCCCGCCTGCTGCCCGCGGCCGGCCAGCCAGCCAGCCAGCCCACTGTAGTGTGTTACAGGGTGTTCTCGAATCGTCACAAAATAGAGGAGGTAATCACGTCGGCGAACTGCCGAGAGCGGCGTGGGGCCAACACATTTCAGCAGATGACGCGTGCCGAGATCTTTACCATTTGTGTTTAAACTTAAATGCACATCTCGGTCACTCACAAGTGAAAAAGTAGAGGAACAGTGCCAATTACGTATACATACAAATGTGCGAGTGCGTGCGTGCGTGCGTGCGTGCGTGCGTGCGTGCGTGCATGTGCGTGTGTGTGTGTGCGTATGCTTACGCGTGTGTGTGTGCAATAAGGACTCCTTTCATGTAGGGAAAATATAATTTGAAAAACCAGTTACCCACTGATTTAAAAAGATAAGAACACGACACATTTATCGCGCAATATTCAAGACAATAACACTACGGTGCCATGCCCGTGTAGATCAAAGCACGCATTCAGTCATTTAGGGAACCAATGTGACAGAGCGCCGTTGCCATGGCTACACCACAATGATGCCCAGCATGGGATGGCCATTATCTCTGACGTCACTCACCGACGCCCAGCATGGGGTGGCGGTCGGGCCGGACGGCTGGCAGCGGCGGCACGGCTGAGGCCGGCGGCGGCAGCGGGTCGCCGGGGGGCACGTCCAGCCGCTGGTGTACGGTGATCTGACCCCGCAGAGGGACAGGCACTGTGGCGCACCGGAGAGGAGAGTCAGGCTCAGGTCGCGGTCGGAGGGCCCAGCTCAGGTCGCGGTCCGAGGGCCCCAGCTCAGGCCACGGTCGGAGGGCCCAGCTCACGCCACGGTCCGAGGCCTCAGCGCGGTCCGAGGGCCCAGCTCGGATCGCGGTCGGAGGGCCCAGCTCAGGCCACGGTAGGAGGGCCCCAGCTCAGGTCGCGGTCCGAGGGCCCCAGCTCAGGCCACGGTCGGAGGGCCCAGCTCACGCCACGGTCCGAGGCCTCAGCGCGGTCCGAGGGCCCAGCTCGGATCGCGGTCGGAGGGCCCAGCTCAGGCCACGGTAGGAGGGCCCCAGCTCAGGTCGCGGTCCGAGGGCCCCAGCTCAGGTCGCGGTCCGAGGGTCCCAGCTCAGGCCACGGTCGGAGGGCCCAGCTCAGGCCGCGGTCCGAGGGCCCCAGTTCAGTGGACAGGCCCGCCGCGGCTCCCGCCTCGGGGCTGGTCAGCACGCCCCACAGCCAGCACGAGGGCAACACTGCTTTGATGTCGACAACACAAGGCCAGACGGAGTTCCTTGCGTAGTCATACAGTGCCTGGTGACCTATGCCAGAGTTCGACCCCATGAAGCTCAGAACCCACTACAATGGAGCTCACTTCCAACGTTAACTGGCCACAAACTACCGCATCAGCCAGTGCTCATATCAACATCCGCTGGTAACAAAATCGCCTCCATGAAACAGAGAAGCAGGACCGTGGCGGAGGGACCGGGGCCACTCCAGCACGGCTGGAGGGCCCTGGTCCCTCCTGTCACGGCTGGGCCGGCCGGCCGCTCACCGGGCTTCAGCTTCTTGCCCTTCCTGTTGGGCGCCAGCAGGTGGAGGCCGGCCGGCACGAACGCCTCGGCGTTCAGCTCCAGTCCGCCGGAGCGTGAGCTCTTGCCCGAAGACACCGGCAGCTTACAGCCGACCAGCTCCTCCGCGTCCACCTGGCGGCGGCGGCGGCACACAGAGCTTCAGCGTAACGCCGCTAGAGGCCGGTCTACACAGACAAGCACTCGCTTGAACGAACATTCAGCTGGTTCCGCGCGCGCCAAGTGCGGAGCATTTCTATCGCTCACACTGAATGCATTAACAAAGCCAGAGAACGCCAGCCAGCGGGCAGCAGAGCCACACGGGGTGTCCGCCTGCGAAGTCGAAGCATCCTGCTGGTACCCAGACCGGCCGCAGCTCGCTTGATGAAGCAGCCATGTCCTTATCACGTAACGACAAAAACCCATCACCTAGCCGGATGTTTGTCGCAAGTAAAGGAAATATCATAAAAGCACCGAAAACGACAAACATTTCCCCCGGATCACATCCGTAAAAACCGCAGCACGCAGACGGCAGTTGTCAACAGTCTTTCCGCACACAACAACTGCTTCTGTGTCATTTCGACATGGCGCTCCCTGAGAAGGAAACACACTTCGGCATTTACCGCACATTGGCTATGAAATTCACGACTTTGTGCACCCGGCCGAGATAGCACGCGGCGACCCCGTCTCAGCCTGAGAGGCGGTGCACGATGTGGGGAAATACATGGATCTGGATAAGAAGTTTGTGGGCTTCAAGTGTGAGATGATGACGACTTATGTATAGTCAGAACAGGACGGAGTTCCACTTTTTGACTAATTTGGATGTGTGCTTCTCCGCACATCATTTGCGGCATTCACCACACATCGCACATTTCATCACCGTCCCTGTGCGGCCGGGGTCGGTGCGCCGGTGAGCTGTGTTTTGTACCTGCGGGCTGAGCCGGACGAGCCAGAGCTCCAGGTGGTCCTGATCGCTGAGCTCCTCCTGACTCAGAGGACCAGGCGACTTCAGCTGCTCGAACTTGGCACTCTCCGCCTCCTCCATGATCAGCTCGCCGACGTACAGCCAGCTGAGGGCACGCACGCAGCGTCAGTCGGTGGGAACACTGCAGGATCGAACAATGCATATATTGCTTGAAAGTAAGCAGGTGCTGCGTGAATAACTCGGATGGAAAAGGCCTTTCTGCTCCGGTTTTCTAACGGGGTAGGCCTAAGGGATCTGATGTTGGGAGAGCCAACTGTCAATATTTCGTGTATGCTCAACGCATATTTCAATGATTGATATCTTAACTTTATTGATACCCCAAATTATCCATGTTGACAGCTCAACCAGCACCTCTCGGACATTAAAGGTGTACTTTATCAGCGTGCAAATTCATCATTACACATACTCACATGCTACGCTTGACATACATACATAAACGCAGATTACTTCCAAGACACTTATCATTTTCATGTAACATATCAAGCAGTCTGAATCATATAATTCTTAAACCAGTCAAAAGTTACCTAAGAAAACAGATCAAATTCGAGCCACGTCTTTACCTCCAGCGTGTAATGCCTTGCTAGGTCACTTGGAGTCATAGCAAGACCTCTCGCTGTCGTCCACTTTTAAGACCTTATACACACGATATTCACGTACAGTGGACCTGTCCTGAAAGCTCAGCTGGTTACAGCACCTCTCTTTGAGTTCACCCGCCCGTAGTAGATGGGTTCGCGTTGTTTTGTGGCAGCGGCAGCGTTAAAGGTCAGGTGACGTCAGAGGGCAGGACAGAGCGCGCCGAGCGTTACGGTAGGCTAAGCTTTAACCGCAAAGTCCTGTTTGCTCACATGGAATTTCAGGATCGGATGGTGAGGTCATGGCTCATGAATAAAGTACTGCTTGGCATGGGCATTCCCAACATACATCAAGTGGAAAGGTTTAGATCAAATATAAAAAAATGGTGTTGTAACGTTCCGTAGTATTTGGAGCGAGTTATTTGTGTAGACCAGGTAGACATAAACATATCGGTATATACATTACTGGCCTGATAGACAAATCCTCTTTAGATGGCTGGTGGTTATAGCATCTGTCTAACAAGTCAGTCTACCAGTTGCAGGAGTGTAGCTTCAAAACCCGAACCCTTTAGAAAGGCTACCAATCGCATGACTTTAGCTTCAAAACCAGAGCCTTCTAAAAGCATTACACATCCAGACAACCAAGCCGATAGCTACAAATCACAACACATGCTATCGCCCTGCAGCCCGGAAAACCCAACCATCATCACCACCAATCTGAAGCAGATGACGTCGAAACAGCCGCACCTGCTCGTGTCGGCCGCCAAGTGGTACGGAAGCCACCTGCGCGTCATCAGAGTAGCCTACATCGGCTACATACATGCACTGTGCGGCTACGTCGCTGCCGTCTTCGACCTACACTGCACCTCATCGGCGACAGAGGAGCTGGACGCCGAGCAGACCAGGTGCGCCAGGCTCATCACAGGACGCCGAGCAGACCAGGTGCGCCAGGCTCATCACAGGACGCCGAGCAGACCAGGTATGCCAGGCTCATCACAGGACGCCGAGCAAACCAGGTGCGCCAGTCTCATCACTGGACGCCCAGCCAGATCAGGTGCGCCAGGCTCATCAGCGGACGCCGAGCAGACCAGGTGCGCCAGACTCATCACTGGACACCGAGCAGACCAGGTGCGCCAGGCTCATCAGCGGACGCCGAGCAGACCAGGTGCGCCAGGCTCATCACTGGACACCGAGCAGACCAGGTGCGCCAGGCTCATCACTGGACACCGAGCAGACCAGGTGCGCCAGACTCATCACTGGACACCGAGCAGACCAGGTGCGCCAGGCTCATCAGCGGACGCCGAGCAGACCAGGTGCGCCAGGCTCACCACTGGACGCCGAGCAAGCAGACCAGGTGCGCCAGGCTCACCGCTGGACGCCGAGCAAGCAGACCAGGTGCGCCAGGCTCACCACTGACTACGTCCGAGGATCACCGGGAGAGGCGCTGTCTCCTGAGAGGCGCTGAGGTGCATCCAGGTGCTCACCAGGTGCATCCATCGCTGTTGGCCAAGCAGATGGCGGTGATGGAGCGCCAGCATGCGACCCGCCTATCGACCTCTGACCAGGGCGGGGACCTGCCGCCCACCGAGCCCACCTCGGCGCCTGAGACACCGAGCGCACCAAGTCCACGGTTCGTGGTGGATCTGCCCACCCCAACCAAGCAGATAGAGCCAGCTCACAAAGACGATGTGCGCGACACACTGCGCGTGCGAGTTGGTGTGCTGGTCCAGCTCCTCGCCAGCGCCAAGACACCATGTGCGCGACACACTGTGCGTGCGAGTTGGTGTGCTGGTCCAGCTCCTCGCCAGCGCCAAGACACTATGTGCGCGACACACTGCGCGTGCGAGTTGGTGTGCTGGTCCAGCTCCTCGCCAGCGCCAAGACACCATGTGCGCGACACACTGTGCGTGCCTCCCGCTGGGACAGCCGTCTGAGGGCGGGGTCTGAAGAGGCCTAAGGGCTGATCCTGAAGAAGTCTGACAGCTGAGTTTGCATCAGCCTGAGAGCTAGGTCTGAGGAAGTCTGAAAGCTTATTCTGTAGCAGTCTGATAACCAAGTCTGCAGTAATCAGAGGGCCAAGGTCACAGAAATCTGGGGCCAGAGTTAGTTGCGATCCATGACTCACTGGCTGACTCTGCAAACTTTCAGTCACCAGACCAGCAGTCCACATGTCAGATTCACATCATGATAGACTACAAGTTGGCCTGCAGCTGCTGTAGCAGAGAACCTCGCTACAGACCCCTACACTATGATATGGGGGAAACCTACACAGCAGTATGCAGACTGTTGCATGCCATGGAGGACAGGTCATGACATTCACACTGTAGTAGATGCCTCATCATGCAAGGATCTGTAGCCATGAGGATACAGACCACATGGCTGCTAAAGCCACAACTGAGAACTGGGGAGCCATCCCTATCAATCTGGCTAGCATGCACAGTGTTGTCCAGTGCAGTGTGATGGAGCTGGCCTGAACATATAGGCTGGGCCATACAGGTATGGAGCTCACATCCTTTTCTGTCTTCAGCCTGGCATTGTCAGCAGAGAACCAAAGGTTCAGAGCAATTCCATGGGCAGACCTTGACCATGGACAGACTCTGACTGTTGTGGAGAGATGCAACTGTATCCCTTGTTTCCAATATCTGTGTAGGGGCTTTGGAACTGCAGGAGAAGAATTGACTACATACATACATGTATATACACACACACACACACAATATATATATAATATATTATATTATATATATATATATTCAGATTATGTGATTGATGACAAAATCGGTGTAGCATGAGGCATGTGCAGACGTTTAAAGCAAGGCAATTGCTGGGTTGACTGCGTGGTATAGCATGAAGATCAAACCCAAATGCCTGGTATCAGGGCCCATGTTCAATTACCCTTAACTTGTTGGGCTGTGCCACATGCTTCAGCAAACCAAAAAGAAGAAAGCCAAATGCCCCAAAAATGCTCACCCAACCTACCCACCAATTATCAGTCACATCAGTGCCATGTTTCATAGCGTGGCAGCTCCTGTGAATGCTATCACAGTACCACATATTATTTTAATTTGCAATGGTAACATCATTAAAATGCTAATGTTTTCTGATGCTTGCTGATAAACTGTCATCCAAAGAAGTCTAAAATAGTTGTCTTAGAAATTACCATATTCTGAAAGGCACTGCAAGCCTCATGTACCAACCAGATAATTAGGTAAATCAAACCCCCAAGCATCAAAAGGATAAGATCTTCATATGCCTGAACAATCCAAGTGATGTAGGCTCGGTCATTAAGTCAATACCTCAAATCAGCAACACGCCATTTGCGATGTCGTTGCTTGTCCGTTGACGTCAAACACGCAAGTTAAATACGCGAGGCCCAGGTAATTAGAACACAAGTTGACGGTGATCCCAGCCAAATCATCTCTCACCTGCACTAAAATCAAGCAGCGCTGGTGGCTCGACTGCGACCAATGCAGGAAAACAGCACCGCAACCAAAACAGTTCCCGACACCACCCGAGGTCCACGCTTGGAACCGCAATGCTCGCTGCGTCATATTTGAGTCAACGGCGTCTTTCTGAGTTCAACACAATCCATTTCCTTAAATTGCTGTCTTTCTGGCAAGGGGTGGGAGGAGGAGAGGTGGCACAGAGCCACGCCCTCTCATTGGGACCCAAAGGAACCATGGGCTACGAAAGGGCCCATTGTCGGCCGAACAGACGCAGTTTTTCCACACAGAACGCAACACAATTAGATGCATTTGAGCTGCCAAGCAACAAAGAACAGTCGTAAGCAAAAGTGAAGGGTCCACGAGAAGACACATGTTATCCTCCACTGATTAGGACGGTGGTGATTGCTAGGTTCTGAGGCTCATTGCGCCATCCAGAGGCCCTGCGCTGTTTTTGGGGACCTACACGCAGGGTCAATCCGATCGTTAAGGAACCTTATACGTTGCTCTTGATTGCCTCGCATTTGTTCGGAGAGCACCACGCTGTTAATGGGGCCCTTCCTGCTAACGTTCCGGCGCATTTTTGTAAATCAGGGACCTTCCACGGGTTCTTTCACCTTGCCCGAAAGGCTTTGTGCTTCAAGCTGAGCCCTCCCCCCCGCCCCCAAGCCAACCTGCCGGGGTATTCTCAATTGCTCAGGGGCCTTTCACGCTGGTCTCGGTTAACCTATCGACTCACTCACAATATGCTC